TCTCTCTCTCCTCCACACACACACACACACACACACACACACACACACCTCCTAGCTGCTCCTCGAACCTTTTCTCCTGTCTCTGGTGAGCGCCACCATTGTCCCCTCGGTATCAACTGTGGCTTCAGCTTTGATGTTCGCTCTTCTCGCTCTCCGCTCTCTTATTTTTCCCTTTTTCGTCCGACCACCGATGTCCACCACAGTCTCGTGCTGCCGCTCGTGTCGAAATCCACGGGAGACGCTTGGAACTCGAATCTTTCCTCGACTTGTGGAAAGAAAGAAAGTTGAGACCGGATCCTCGGCGATTTTCGATCTTCGTACCTTGCCGACAACCTATTTTCGTGCATATTTTAAAATTTAAGATATGCACGAATTATCGCCAAGCGATTGGGAAAATTAACGTCAATGAAATATTCACTCGCGGCATTCGCGATTCGAATTTTAGCAATTATAATTTCATTCAAATGATCGACCGAGCGAGAAATATACTACTTGGAATTCCACCGCGTGTTAATATTTGTTCCCCCGTTTAGATGGATGTTTTGGCATGTTTGTTTTTAATGTAAATCTATTTAAATTAGCGCTGTTACGACACAATCTGCAAGATTCAGCATAGATACTTGGCATTGCAATTATTCGTGCTGGGACAGTTTGAATATTCATTGGAATACTTACTTTGCATAGTGTTCAAATGCCACCATGAAATTTGTAATTGCGCTTAAAGGTAAAGGATAATCCCTTGCGCGGTTTCCATTCTATGAATCCAATTAGCGTATAATATATTTATCAACTTTTCCACCAATGGTTATTCAATAACAACGTTTGTTTATTATTTATTACTTTTACAATTTCCCGACACTTTACGACAATACGGATCGAATTTAGGGGGGGTTTTAATGCGTTCATTATCGATCGGGAGTGTCGGTGCATCGGTAAATAATCTCGAAGAGCGGTTATGCAATAGTATTATAAACAAGTCATTAACCACGTGGACGTTTTCGATATCTGGTTAAGTACGTGCAAATGGAAATGTAAGCGCTTCGATTGGGCATTGTTTATTCTGCACGTTGAATAGCTCTGCACCATTAATTGCGCGTTAATTGCAATCTGATCTATTAAATTTAATATTTAAATTCGTTCGTTTTTTTGAAAAAACAAATTGATAAGAAATACTTTTCAATATAGTAATTTTAATTGATATTATACGCGAAAGCTTCTTAACGAAACGTTTCATATTTGGAATATTATTTTTTATTAATTTTCAATAAATTTTATATCGTTCATTAATTGCTGGATCGATGAGATTGAAATTAGAACTAGATGATTAAATTCGTTACACCATTTCATTTTTATTTCTCGCGAAACGAATCGATAGAAAATAAAAAAAGAAAAATAAAATCGACTCGTGTCTCTCATCGTAATTATATTAATAGAATAATATTAAGAGAGCGGAAATACTTGGGTATTATTTAGAAATCAAAGGAAACGAGATACGAGTGGACGATATATAAAATTCATATTTATTTAAAATGATTTTGTTATGAATTTAAATGTTCAAAAATACACAAATTTCAAAAAAAAAAGAAAATTCCATTTGTTTTCTTCTGA